AACTGTCGACCCCCCCCCCCCCCCCAATTTCCATGGATCTTGATCTTCATGCTTCATCCCGTGTCTCGTGTGGAGAATGATTGACCTTCATTTCATTTTTTTTCTTTCTTTTTTGTTTCTGGGTAGATTACTTCTCGTGAAGAAGTTACAGAGGTTTTACAGGCTCGGTTTTGGGAGCTGGTCCCTGGCTACACCGTCGGCTCTCTCACACTTCAGGTACCCTCTATTTCACTAAACTGATGAATACATATTCATCATTAGCTGCATGGGTATTCGTGGTTAAACTTGTTATTATCTTTTCCGTGCGTTGATGGTAGGTGAAAAGCGGAACAGATGATCGTCCTTTACTTCAGTTTGTGTATGATCTGTACCATGATTTGGGTGTACAAGACTTGACCGTGCAAACCGATTTCAGTTGAATACGTCACCCTGAGATGTAAGAAGAAGAAGAAGAAGGCCTCTTCTGGTTTAAAGATAACGACTTTGTTGCATTGCACTTCATTAGGTATACAGTAGCATCTTCTTCTAGTTACAATGATACATACGAATCCCCATTATTCAAAGACAATGTCATGGCTGCAAATTTCACACTTACATCTTAAAACAGCACTTGCTTCTGTTTTCAGAGGCCTTTTTTCAGTATCTACAACGAGACAAGCTTTAAACTTTACACTAATTCTTTAAAAAAGGTTCAACCTTTTTTTTTTTCCCTTTCTTCATGCCTATCTTCCAGTGATCTCAGTGAGCGAATTGATCTGGCTTCCGGTAAGAGAGTAATCCAAGTCGCTGAAAGACGGCGGCATTGTCGGCCAGACGAAGGCCGGTCTCTCTTTCGGCACATCTGGTGGATGCATTTCACCTGTCAAAACCTTCAAGACTGTTCTCATGGAGGGTCTCTTGTTTGGATCAGGATGACAACAGGCCAACCCTAACAGCAACACACTCTTCATCTCTTCCTCCTCGAAATCGCCCTCCAATCTCGGGTCTGCAGATTCAAAGATCGTCCCTTTTCGGTATAATTCCCATAACCAGTTCACGATACTGTTGTTATAGTTCTGTTCTTTGGAGAAATGAGTAGGTTTCTTCCCCGAGACAACCTCGAGCATCAGGACTCCGAATGCATATACGTCTGTTTCGACTGTCGCTCTCCCGTTAAGGAAAGTCTCGGGAGCCATGTATCCCGGTGTTCCAGCTATCTCTTTCGTCGAATGATGCGTCATTTCGCTCTGTTGGATCGCTCTTGCAAGCCCGAAATCTCCGAGTTTAGGGTTGAAATCCGAGTCCAGCATCACATTGCTCGCCTTTATGTCTCTGTGAAGTATCCTATTGTCGCATCCGTTGTGAAGGTATTCCAGTGCGTGAGATAACCCTCTTACGATGTTCATCCTCGACTCCCACCCGAGAGTCGACGACCCTCGTTTCGTCGTCCTGTCTTCCAAGAAAAGGTACCTGTCTAAGCTTCCTTTCGGCATGAACTCGTAAACAAGTAGGAACTCTTTCTTCTCGTAGCACCATCCGAGTAACTTGACCAGGTTCTTGTGGTTTAGATTTCCGATCGTTTTGATTTCGGATATGAACTCTTGCTTTCCTTGATGCGATTTCTCGGAAACCCTTTTCACCGCTATGTCTCGGTTCTTCCAACTTCCCTTAAACACCATCCCGAACCCTCCTTGCCCTAGCTTGTTCTGAGGGCTGAAGTGGTTTGTGGCTTTCTTCAATTCTCTCAGCTTGAATTTCCTCGGGTTTATAGCGCAATGATCGATCTCTGCTTCTATATCCGACGGGTTTTCCTCTCCTTCCTTTGATCTTGACCTCAAATACCGGACCGATCCAAAGAGCATTCCAGCCAAAACAACAGAAGCAATCGGGATAGTGATCCAGAGCCATAGCAGCTTTGAATCTCCGCCGATATCCAAACCCTCGAACCTCCATGATTGTACGCAGTTCAGCTCGGTTTCGTTCCCTGTTGATGCCGAGAACCCAACATAAACCTTCTCAGGAAGATATGCAGAGAGATCTATGGCGTGAGAAAACACCAAGTTCCTCGGATCCTGTAATGGGTCTGCCTTCTTATCCGTGGAGACATAAACAGATAGATTCTTACCATCGTACCGAATATGAACAGCGAGACTAGATCCCGCCGAGATCCTGATTCCGTGGCCAGTTAAAGATTCTTGAACGACAGAGCTGATGCTGTTCACATTGAGGCCGACATGGTTGCTGTCAAGATCTTCAGGAAAGCTCTTCCTCGTGTCGAGCTCAACAGCCACAATCTTGGAACTCGCTGACCCGTTCGTACTGCCGTTGACTAAACCGAGCCACTGGCCATGGCTGTCTGCAGGAGGAGGCGTGTCGGCCGTGAGAACAAAGGCCAGGCCTTCACCTCCTGGGTCAGTCTGGTTCGAGACGTTGATGAGAAAGGTGGTGTCGAAGGTGGCGTTCTTGTCTTTGGTCCACAGCCTGAAACGCTTCTTGTAAAGGGCACGACCTGAGTGGTTCGTTAGAGGACCTCCGCGAACATCTGGAGTCACTTGGATCGCGTTTAGGACAACGTACGAGCCGTGTTTGATCAAATCTGATTCGTTGGTTTCGTTGAAGAGAGGGAAGTTGAACCTCAAGCTCTCGACTTTTGTCTGAATCCTGCATGACAATGCTATCGCCATGATCAGAAGCTTAATAATGGGTAGAGAAATTTTCATTTTCTTTTCTTTTGGTGTTCTTTCTCTTTTTTTTTTCTCTCTGATTTCTGCAGTTCTCTACAATGATGTTCTTGTGGAGAGACTGCAAAAAAAATTGGGTTTTGAGCAATTTCATTATTTATTTTGTTGTTTTCTTTTAAAAAAATATTGATTAGATTTAATAATTATATTCGTTTTTAGACATAATTGACTATTGAATTTATTTTATTTTAACGTGAATAAAATAGTCGTCAATGGTGGTGTGACTTAGTAAAAATGGAAGGAGGTTTAGGGAATATTTTGAACATTTTGTCGCGTTTTTATTTATTATAGGGTAAACTTTGGAATTGTAAGGAAAGAGTTGACATTTCGCATTTTAATTTGATTACATTTTCACCAACTGACCATCCATTTCATTGTTTATCACAATATTCTATTTTGTCTCAACTCAAATTGGATTCTGTCAACAACGCTGATCTTTGATTTTTCTTCCACAAATATTTTAAAATCTTGATTGCTATTATTTTTTTTGTGCTACTAAACTCAAATTTTCTATTTTTTTTTTGTAATTTTGTTATTTTTACTAAATCTATTGTTTATTTTAAAAAATAAATTACAAATGTAGAATTTATTGTACTGGGAGAAAGGTCTTGTGTTAATTTTGTCTGATCCATGCTCAAATCTCATTTTTAAAAACAGTATCATTAAGCCCAAAAATAGGATTTTGTGTTGGAATTAATATATTTATGTAGTCTAACTAATTTGGATTGTTGAATTTTAATATTAAATTACTAATTTAAAATTAGATATTTTGATGGATAAATGTTTAGTTAAAATAATTGAGGTTTGTAGAAAATTCCATGAACCAAGTCCCATCTTTTTCAAAGTTAATCACGATTAAATTTTTATCCAATTAGGATTTGATTTTTAAGACGAACGTTATTAGATTTTATTGAGAAGTAAATTAGAGAAAGTGCATTAACAAAAAAAAAAAAGTAAATCATAGAAAGGAAAAAAATAAGTCACACAATTAATATGATTCGTTATTAGATTTTTCTACTTAACTCTCTATCCAATTTTTATCTTGTTAGTCAGTCCTGTTATCGAAGACTACTACTACTTAGTGTCACGTGGTGAATTTCTATTATATTTCATTTTAATAATTTGTATAATATTTTTTTTAGTGTCCAGGTTTTCATTAAAAAACTATAATTTTCTAAAAAAAAACCTTAATTTTAACCAATTGATTTTTTTTTTTAAAAAAAAAAAGCTCATGATGCATGTATTGCATAGAGAGTTAAGTAGAAAAACCATATTTTGCCATTTTTTTTATAACCATGATGGAGCCTTCGATCCGAGATTATATCTACCTTAGATCCGAGATCAACCTTTGTATATGGACTATTTTGGTCCCGAAATTATATTATTTTCCATCAGTGGAATCGAATTCAGGAATTTGAGGATGATTCACTTCTAAACAAATGGATTGGGTGAGTTCGTAGATGCACCAAAGAGGAGAGAATCTTCCATTAAATTTGACTACAAACGATAGAGAATGCCGATCTGTCCGCACGTCGGACAAATCTCACGAAGACAAAAGTCACACAATTAATATGATTCTTTTTTATTTTATTATTTTATTTGAACTTATTATTATTAAAAAATAATAATAACGTTCGGAAAATTCATGGAAACAACAACACATTGTCGTTGTCAGATCCATACACCTCATCTTATTGAATTATTAATGCTTATTTGTTAGAATCCTTACACTGCAATCTCCCACAAATGCGTGTTTACTATGTCTAATATTCGCAGAATATCCCTAATATTAAATATTTATATATATATATATATATCCCTTGACAACGCTATATTATATATTGAGAAAATTTGAAAAGATTACAATAATACATTCTATATTCAGATTTGATTATATTTGTATTGTTAATAATTAGACTTTATTTTTAAGAGTGAATTTCATATCTGGATAGGTCCCCGTACCCTTATAATATTTTTCTAATAATAATATACTTATAATTCATATATGTATATAATTATAGAATCTTGGTATGTAGTATCATAACTTGGTTTATCTATCTGGCTTTGACGTTATTTATATTTCTCGACAATGGTATTTACACGAGCGATAGTGAATAGTCTTGATGTTATTTATTTATTTTTATTATATTATAATTATTTTAAGAAAATCGTATTTCCATTTTTTAAAAAACAATACTTGGATGGCTAGCTCTTGAGTAACGCACCATTTTTTAACTCTTTTTTCTACGAGGGATAGATTGTTTCACTGAAATAGAAATTGGTCTATTTGGTCCGTGTTTAATTTTTCAACACTCTTGTAGTCACGCACATATTTTTTTTATTTCATTATTTTGTAACCATTGATGCAAATCCTAAATTCTTTAAATTTCCAAGTAAAAGACAGTTTTGGTGGGAAAGCCATTGGACCACAAAATAACCCTAATTAAATATCACATTCGTAAAAAATGTTATTATTGTATTTACAGATATCAATGTAACGCCAAACCAACGTTTTGTAAACTGTAACACAAATACAGATATTGCGTTTGTGATTTGAACAATCGGCCCGCATGTCATCTGTCTGCAAAATCACAAGCGAAATAGTTGTAGCAGCAGACCTAGAAAAATGTATAAAAAGAGACAATAATTATATATATATATATATATATATAATTTTATAAAATCAAATTTTATTTTTATAAAGTTTGTAAAAAAAATACTATTTTTTAGTTAATTAAAAGGGATCTGTGACCCATCCCATAGAAGGTAGGTCCGCCTCTAAATAGCTGGAACATTTTTTTTTGCACAAAACTAAACATATAGCACATAATCTTAAACAAAATTAATTCGATACAAAAATTGAATTGATATATTTTTTTATGATAAAATTAACCCATTGAAGATAAATACAACATGGATCTAATATGAAAACAACAAAAAAAATTTGAATAAAAATGATATAGTATTTAGAAAATAATAGAATGAATATAGCTAGTTGTTATAAAAGTGCATGAATATAAAGCCAACCTAGATAGTTCAACCGGTGAAATGGGGACGCAAAACGTCTGTCCCGCCCCGAGTTCGAACCCCAAGTTGGGAAGGGAGTGCATAATTCAAATCATATGGCTAGCTTCCGTCCCCGGAATTAATCCGGCAAAACCCGGTTACCAAAAAAAAAATGCATGAATATAGCTCCTATGATAATAACAATTTAAACCCGAAAATAATTCAATAAATGTAATCGAAAACCGAAATGATCAGCTCTATTAGGAAGCATATTATAAACTCTATGCCATATAATTAGCATGATTTCGATGTCAAAACAATCTTTTTAAGTGACTCTCAAGCGACAGTTTTCAAGATTCTTAATCCAAATTGGTTAAGTAAACGTCGGAGGAAACCTTATCAGATAATTATAATGTCTGATTTGTCATAATAATACAGCTGTAATGACCCACCAACTCTCATCGCATATTTAAAATTTTCAATGCATGGATCTGCTGAAAGAAAATCTTATTAGCCCAAAATATTTTTGGTCTTGATTTTTTTTTTTAGTATTTTGTTTCGAAATCAGTTAATTTAATTTTAAGATAGCTATACTCAATCGATTTTAAATCATATTTGATTTCGGTTTAAGTACATATATTATATTATGAGTGGTCATTTTGGTTATTAACTAAATAATCAAACTCAAACCAAATGAGACATAACTATAATCAAATTAAATCTAACATATAAAACGAACGGTTATAACTTCTTTAAACCCAAAAAAAAATCCAAATCAAATTGTACCAAATCGGGAAAAAAATAATCAAAAAAATCGATAAACTTTTTTTTTAAAAAAATGAATTTTTTATCATATAAAACCGAATCTTAAACAAACCAAACCGAATTAATCCAAAGTTAATATAAAAAACAAATTGGTTATAGTTTTTCTATAACCAAAATAATCCGATCGAAAAGCCGAGATGACCACTCCTAATTTATATATGATTTGGATCATTTTTAATCGTATCCGATCCGGTTTATTTTTTAGCATTGTCTACCTCTTTAGAAGATTTTAAGTTTAATATAATTACACCACTTTTTGGCTAACCGCGTGGAGTAAGTACAATAATGCAACAGATGGAGACTAAGTAACAGAAGGATTATATTACTTTTGCCGTAGAAAAAGGCCAATAAGCTTTAACCAGCTTTTCGATTTTTGTTTTTTTGACTAAGTATGCAAAAGACACACTTAATCTTAATGTCTTATTCGATTTCCATCACTCAATTTAATTAGTAAACATGATTAACGCGGTGATTAACTCTTTTCCACGTGTATATATTTTGGCCACGATGCAGAAAGCTTCAATCCCAAAAAAAAATCTAAGTTTTTTTCCCCTCTCTTATTGCTTATCTTCAATGGCTTCTCTTAGAGCTGCAAACTGTTCTTCTAACCGTGATCTCTTCGCCATGACCTTGATCGTTCTTCCTCTCGTGTCGTCGATGTTCGGAACCTCGTACGGGCAATTGAACGCGACGTTTTACTCGGGAACGTGCCCTAACGCCTCGAGTATCGTCCGTAACATCGTTCAACAAGCTCTTCAATCCGATCCAAGAATCGGGGCAAGCCTTATCCGCCTTCATTTCCATGATTGCTTCGTCAATGTAAGTCTCATTCCACTAGATGCGAACTCTTTGCGCTACAATGTTTCGTTTCTCGACGTACTGATGAAATCCGTCTCCGTCTTCTTGATCTCGAAAGGGTTGTGATGCTTCGATCTTGCTCGACGGCAGCGGAAGCGTACAGAGCGAGAAGAACGCTGGTCCGAACGCCAATTCGGTCAGAGGGTTCGGAGTCGTGGATAATATTAAGACAGCCCTCGAAAACGCTTGTCCGGGCGTTGTTTCTTGCGCCGATATCTTAGCTTTTGCCTCTGAATCCTCCGTTTCATTGGTGACGTCTTTTGGGCCTTAATGGGCCTTAAACATGGGTCCATATGTGGTTTGATGTATTCGGCCCATTTAGAGGGCCCATTGGCAAGTCAATCTTCAAAGTAAAAAAGAATGAGCACCCAAGATCTAATATAAGACCACATCACATCATATTATATATATATATATATATATAAGAATACGTATTATTAGCATATTGTACATCTTAGTTTGTAGATGATTACAGTAGAAAACCCTAAGTTGAGATCTGAACGATATTATGATAGTGCTTATATATATATACACACACACGTGCATGTATGTGTTCATGAAGTAAATGTTGAATTTTTCAGTCGGGAGGTCCTTCATGGACGGTGTTATTGGGAAGAAGAGACGGTCTAACCGCGAACCAGGCAGGTGCAAACACGTCGATTCCTTCTCCTTTCGAAGGATTGAGTAACATAACCGCTAAATTCTCTGCGGTCGGGCTAAACACTAGCGATCTCGTCGCCTTATCTGGTAAATCAAAAACCCGATATAATATCGATACCTACCTTGCTGCTCAAGTTACCGACTTGTAGATAGAAACCCTAAAACTGTGAATATCCACAATCTGATCAGGAGCTCACACGTTCGGGCGAGCGCAATGCAGACTCTTCAGCAGTAGGCTCTACAATTTCAGCGGAACCGGAAATCCCGACCCGAGTTTGAACACGACGTTTCTGAACAGTCTTCAGCAGCTGTGCCCTAGAAACGGATCTGGCTCCGTAATTACGAATCTCGATCTCCAAACTCCGGATTCTTTCGACAATGCTTACTTCGCGAATCTGCAGACCAATCAGGGGCTTCTTCAATCCGACCAAGAACTGTTCTCAACTCGAGGCGCGGCCACCGTGGCGATCGTTGCTTCTTTCGCAAGTAACCAGACGTTGTTCTTTCAGGCGTTTGCTCAGTCTATGATCAACATGGGAAATATCAGTCCCTTGACTGGGAACAGCGGCGAGATTAGACAAGACTGTAAGAAGGTTAATGGCAGCTGAAGTTGAGTTTAAAAAAATTTTGAAACTTTTTATTATTATTATTATTTGTGAGGTGATGTTTAGTAAAATCACTATATCAACTGATGTTCTCTTTTTTTTTTTTAATGTTTCTGAAATGGTTATTAATATTCGGTATTCCAAGATAATTAATATTATTGGAAATAATTGTATTCTAGATTCATGGTACAAAATTTACCGATACACAGTTCAATAAAATGAAAAAGGTAATAAAGCGGTAAGAATATTTTAGATTTAATTATATGAATAAGTTCTACCATATACGTTTTCATGGGTCAACATTAATATTCGCTTAACTTTTAAGACATAAATTTCCAAAAATACCAAGAATCGTCATGAACAAATCCTCTTATTGAATCATGAATTTCCAAAAATACCACCTAATATATAGGGGGCAAAGGACACGAGAAACCAAATTTACTGAATTTAGTCACAAGGTGAAAATTAATTATATTGTTGCATGTTATGTGTGCCATCCATGTATTTTAGGTTAATTTTGGATCATTTCAACCCTGTGATTACACATTTGCATGCCAACAATTTACGTGAGTCATCATTTGTGTATTATAAATCATTTTTTTAAAAATGTATATAAGATGGTAAAAAAAATATTGTATTGTTTATAAAATTTCTTTGTCACTAATATAAATATAATGTTATCGGTTGCAGAAACCCAAAAAGAAAAATAAAGGTGTGATTGCAAGAATATAACTCGTAACACGTTATTTTTATTATAATGTAGTCGGAAATTTGAATATTGCTTTTGTTATGATTAATGTGGATTAATATTAATCAATAAAAATAAAGGAATGTACCCAACAGATCGTCATGTTTACCACTGCTCTATCAAGACGGCCCAAAATACAGTTATTCCCAGATTGGGTTCGGGGCCAACTCTCAAGGGTAGGAGGTAACTCTCAATCTCATTCGATTCCTGGCTGGTGGGGAGGGAGGTAATTTCTGGGTTTATATGATCCATATACAAATGCTGCTCCCGGATCGGAGGTTTACCTAGTCAGCGTGCTCGAAGGTTAGCAGCTAGGAGTCTTCCGTTATAAAAATAAAAAATAAAATAAAGGAATGTATCAGATTTATAGAAAATATCCGCGACAATAACATTGTAAAAGATATTTTACATAAGCATTTACTCGTGAGATTTATATATTATCATCTTATTATATCCTAAATACTCAGTAAAATATTATTTTTTTTCTCCAAACAAATTTTACATCGTACGGCTCCTCGATCTTATAACATATTCATCGTGGTTGTCCTGGCTTCCGAAATTCGTACCTCAATGAGTTCCATGTGATTTTTTTTAGGAAAAAAAACTGGTTATGCCACGTGGCGAAAGGATGCACCAGATTGGATCGTGACACGGAGTACAAGAAAATTTAACCACCAACAGTCAAATGTCTGATGACTTTTCTCCCCTTTTGGAAAAATAAATATTATTTTATAAACTTTATATAAAGAATATTGACATTTTTTTTTTATTTGAACCAAACATCCCATGTGACATCGACCGACCCATTTCCAACACATATATACATATATAGTTTCCATATAGTTATTTCATAATTTTTCGGATTTAAAAACGTAAAAATTCCACCAACATTACATTATATTGTCGGTGATTCATTAAATTCCGCAGCACTTAATTGTGCACTTCTTCTTGAACTTTTCAAACTCTCCAATAATATAAATAATTAATAGCAACACAACCACCAAATTCAATGGCTGATAATCTCTCCAATAAAATAAATAATTAATAATAAAAACGCAACCAACAAATTCAATGCTTCATAATAAATTATTATTATGTAATTAATAAATTATTACTCTTTAGTAACAAAAACATTTACAACAGCTTTAAACCGCCCCCCATCAAAAGATTACACCTTTTTTTTTTTTCAGATATCCATAAATCTAGTTTCTCTCTCTCTCTCTCTCTCTCTGCACATTTCAATGACGGTAAACTGTAAATCTCCATTTTTTTTACTCCGAACACAACGTGGAAATGGAAACAAGCTCCAAAGTTCATACCTTTAGGGTTTTCGCCTCGCGTTTCCGAGTTTGCCGAGTTGCACAAGCAACTCGGCGTAGAGGATTTCATTCCACGAGTCGGGTACCCCGGGAAGGCACCAATGGCTGCAGTCTTGGTACCTCAACGGCGATCTCCGCTCTTCGGGCGATAGGTTTTGCTTCCTGTAGATTGATGGGTGACCGTCCTTGCGGTAATCCGTCAATCTCGTGATGTTTAGATACGTCACGGGCGTCTTCATACCCTTTATGACCCTCTCTAGAACCTGCATTTTAGGCGGGTACGGCGTGAGGTACGTCTCATTCTTTATCGGTTCCGTCTCGCTATCGCAGGCCCCTCCCGAGTTCCATTGCCCGCCGCTGGAAAGAAAGCAAACTTGATGAATTTTAGAACAGGTTTCAAATTTCAATTAGGGTGGCCAACTCGGTTAATAACCGTATAATACACAATCATATCTAGACCGAAAATGATACAAAAACCGGACGGTTATAACATTTCTAAAATATAAAAAACCACAAATACTGATTTTGAACATAAGCGAATCAAAAATAATAGAAAGATCCGAAAATTCCTTTGAAAAACGAACCAAAACGAACAAAATTCAATATAATTACCGAATCTTTTAAAACTGAAATAACTCAAACCAGAAATGACCACCCCTAGTTGAGTAGTTTCAAGGATGTAAGATTCAAGAGTCACAGATCTTGTTTCACCTGAAATGTGATGCGGAGTATCCCCGGAATAAAACGAGGGATTTGTCCGGATTCACGTTCTTATCGACCCATCGAGACCAAGTCGTCAAGGCTTTCCTGAAAGCTTCGAGGACGTTGAGTTCGCCGTACACATGACTGCCCTCTTGGTAATAATCCTCCCTAAGAAACATTTTTACACATGGACCAGGTCTCAGTCCCCGAACAAGCAAAAATACACGAAACAAAACCCTAGACACGGGATTAAGAAGGTTACCCTTTGGACGTTTTCTCATGAGTCCACCAGTGTCCGGTGTTGAAGATGATGATATCCGCTCCTTTGTATTGCTCGGAGGATCTCCCGACCAAATCTAACCGCAAAGTCTCCTTCTTTGTCCCGTTCTTGTCCACGACCTCCCATTCTTGGACCAAGAAAGGCGAAACATAGAATTCCACCGTGCAGTCATAGTCCTTATACGCATGACCATAACATATCATGGATCAAAAACCCGAAAAACCAACCAATTCAAATGAATGTGAAATGCTGCGATCGAATGATTTCGGTACGAGGATTTTGAAGCTTTTCTTACTTTGAACACGAAAGAGTACTCGGCTTCTCCACGGAAATGATGCCTTCCATTGGCCTCAAAGACTTTGCTTTGATCTTTCACTGATCCTCTAAGGATACAGACGAGAGATTCCCACATGTTCCGATTTAGCGAATCGCCGACGAACACAAGCCGTCTCCCTCTGATCATCTCCAGCAAATGAGCCCCGTTTAACCTATCATATACATACACATACACATACAGATTCATATTTCCTATAGCCACATGATAATCACAGAAAACTGCAGAGAAAACTTTCCTGGAAAAAAGTCCAAAGCATTATATTATAATGAAAATGAATCTAGATTTGGATTCAAGGATCAAAGGTATCAGAACCCATCAAGATAATTCATTTGGTTCAGAAGCTGTAAGAAAGACGAATCCGATAACGTACCTTGGCAAATCACACTTCTTGGGTTTCCACTTCAGTTTCTGAAAATCCTTGTCGGGTCTTCCATTGAGGATGCAGTTGAACTGTTGATCGATCAAGTTACACGAACCGGGTTTGTAAAGTGGATAAGATTCGTCCTTTACCCACCCTCCATCAAAGAAATCGCAATTCTTAAGAGACTCTTTCCATTTCTCGATCTCTTCCTTCACCGAAGAGCCCGAGTCACTCTTGTTGCTCTCTTTCTCCGGCGGAGAAGCCGGTGGATTCAAGGCACTGAGATCGGCTGATTTCGGCGCCGGAACTGCTGTCTGGTTTGCCTTGGAAGCTTGGTCTTTGTCTGAATTCGGAGCACTGACCTTCGCGTTCTTCGAATTCGACTGTTTCCCCCCTGCTTGATCACTCCGTGACTGATTACTCGATCCGTTCAGTGATTCATCTGAAACTGGGGACTGATTGGTGCTGTTTTTCGTAACTGGGTTCGTCTTTTTTGCGGTCGGAGACTCAAAGGTTTGATTTTTACCAATCGAACCCGACTTGTCAGAGATGGTTGATTGCAATGTGCCGTTTTTAGGAACTGAGCCGGGGAAACTCGATGTCAGAGCCGAGAAATTGCCAGTTTCAGAAACTGGGTCGGAGAAATTCGATCCGGGTTTCGAAGAAACAGCGTCACTGGATCGATTATTCGGCTGCTGCGACGACGACGAAGTAGCATTCGGTAGAACATAAGAGAAGATCGAGGAGAACTGAGATCTGTATCTGTCGGCGGCGGAAGATCCACCCCCACCGCCGGAATCTCCGCCGTAGTCCGCCGCGGAGGAGGACGAGAAGAGGTTAGAGAACCATGGAGAAGACGAGTTCGGAGATGGGCTGAAAGCAAAGAACACGGTGAAGGCCACGAAAGTGATGACGGAGACGTAGGCGAAAGTGGATGCCTTTCTGGGTTTCACGGCGGTGATGAGGCTCTTGACGTCGGCGGCAGCGGCGGAGACAGCCGTGGTTGCTCCTCCTCCTCCGCCGTTTATGGGCATGTACTTGACGGAATCCGACGCCATTAACGACAACGGAGCTTTCTGTCAGGGGGTTTGTGCGGCGAGCGAGGACTCTCTCTCTCTAGAAGTGAGATGTGACTGTGAGTTGTGTTTTGTGTTTGGTGTTTAGAGAGAGAAAGTGAGGAGAGAGAATGAATATTTCTAGAGAGAGAAAGGACAGTTGTCGTCGACGACGAGAGGACTCTCTTCAAGGTTGCGAGTTAGATAAAGTGGCATTTGTTTAGGGAACGTCGTTAAAGCTAAGGGCTTGTGGAATTACCCTTTGTTTTCTTAGAAATTACGGGTAGTGCCACTGAGAGGACTTGTCGGTGAAGTCTTGGAAAGCAAAGGGTCCATGGACATATTGGCCATATCTCACATGAATTGATAATTAAATACTTATATTAAGTACCTTTATAGCATTTTTATATTATTTGATTTTTATTTTTGGAAAGGCAGTCGAATATAAATCTGATTTGGACACGTATTAAATCTCAAATATCCCAATCAGATTCAATTTGACAATTTTTAAAAATTTGTACAATATAATAAAATCATTTTATTCCAATTTTTATTTTATTCTATAACTTATTATTCAATTCACTATTACTCGACTTTACGATAATATATAGTAGAATAATTTACTTTAATGAAACTAATGTTATTTGACTGGTTAAAAAATATGGAAAATGATAAATTTATGAATCAATCTTAAAAGGAAGAAAAAATACTATATAATATTTTTTTTGTATATATATAATATTTAAAATATAACATTAAGAATTAGTACGTACAAAAAAAAGGAATAACCATTGAGAAAATTAAACTTTATGAAAAACCCACATGGATAATTTACCGCTAAACAACCCGACTAATGTATAAACTTTGCACTTAATATAATATATTTTCACGGTTGCTAAAATAAATTATTTAAAATTTTTTTTAAAAAAAAACAGAATAGCGAAAATCATTGGAGTGGCAGAGTTTGTAAATAAAGGGGAACCGTAGAATGTATGCCGGAAAAACCCTTGAGAAATTACATTTGGGTGGTTAGTGGAACTCTTCGCATCAACAACGCAGATTTAGCGTTCTGCGTGTGGGGCCCGTTCGTCGACCGTACTTATCCTTATTTGGACTCCATTACGCTTTTAGTATTATAGCTTCAATAAAATATAAATCTATATAGGAATGTATGTGTGTGTGTGTATATATATAGGTGGTAGCACTGTAGTCAGTAATATTCCTAACATTAGTTTTAAAATTTTAAATAATTTTATAAAAAAATTAAACTAATATATGCTTACCTCACCGTATCATAAATATTCTAATAAAAACGAGTCATAATATTTGACGTTGAAATTTTTTTTACAATTTTTAATAAACTATAAAAAAAGTCACGTATACTTTTATTTAAATCTAAAATATAATTAATATTAATTAAGTTTATTAGAATTTATTAGTTTTAATTAAGGATAAAATTAAAAATTATTTTTAAAAAATATTTAGAAAACCTAAAATGATAACTATTTTAAAACAAAAAATTTTGCATATAACTTCAATTATTTAGAAACGTTTTTATATATATTGCGATGCGTTCCAGTTATATTCAACATTTGTACCTGAGATCAGATCATGTATCATGAGATTTTTGCCAGCAAAAAATAAATGATATAATGGAATGAGAATATAAATAATATTAATTTGAAACAATATGCCATTTTATAACGTGATTCGAAAATGGAACTCAATTATTTCAAATGAGCATTACAAAAATCTTCATAAAAAATATATATACAAAAATCAGCCGACAGTATACAAAAAATGTGAATCGAGGAAAATAAAAAAAAATAAGTAAAATAAGGAAATAGGAATGGACCCTTCCTCTTCACCGACGGGCTGAGTGTTGATTGGTCAGAGCTGAAGCATCACATTTGTTTTTTATTTTAAAAAAAAACCCACCGTCACGAGTATTTTTTTTTTCGAAATTCAATTTTATTTATTATTGACAAAATTATTATTTGGTTGATTTTAATTTATCACCGTTTTGCAACGATAGATACACAAACGTACTAGTTATACATATATATGAGATCTAAACTAATATGAATATTGTCTTATCTGTTTAAATTAATTTACACAAAGTTAATGAAAATTAACGTGGATATTATATTTTATTTTATAATATTAATATTTTCAATAATAGCTTTTTTAGTATGTGATCAACAATTCGTGTTTAACAAGATTTTTATTTAGGCATATGATAAGAATAAAATAATTATTTAGACAAATTTGTCGAATTCATATAGCAATTTCTACCTAAAATACGATCACCAAACAATTTATTCGGTCACATGTGAAAGCTTTCACAACGGCTATCATAAGTCAACAATCCGTACTAAAAGAAATTCGAATAAAAAAAAAGAAAAGTTCGAATAATAAGCTAATAAATATCAATAATTTCACAATTTCACGGTATATTTTTTATTAAAAGTTTCCGACCATGTCAAACTATTTGATTTTTTTTAGATTTACTACACTTAGTTATAAAAATAGTTTGCTTATTTTTTTTTAATCAAATTTCTATTATTTTGACACCTTTAACAAATGATATAAACTAATTTGTATACAAATCCTTTAAAAGACTAGTCAATTCATAAAAAATTAAAAAACAAATCAACATATGTATTATTATTATTATTATTATTATTATTATTATTATCGCCATGTGTGAACCGTAGGTGCATGTGGTTTTGGTCACTATAACCAAATTTAGGTTTGACGAAATTTAAATAGTGTGATTCATAGTCAAAATTACCTTTGACCAAGAAACTTACCGCGTCGAGTCGAACACCAACACGTCACATTTGAATCCTGGGGATGTGAAAATGAAACTAAATTTAGGCCATTTCCATTATTTTCTTATTCTTTCTTATTATTTTTTTTACCACGAATTATTTTGCCATATATAAAAGCAACTAAAATTTTCATTTATAAAAATACTAACAAATAAAACATAAAGCACCAAAAATAAAATAACATCGGAAAATGAAGTTTATGTGCTGCAAATGAATCATATGAATATATCATTTGTTACATTTTTATTTAAGAAATTAGTTATGTTTTCAAATTTTGATATATTAAAACTTAAAAACTTTGTATAACAAATAAATCATAAATAAATATTTGAATCAGTATAAAACCAATCTACCATGACCATGGAATCATGCAAAAGATAGTTTTTTCTTAAATATTTGATTATTTAAATATCATATTTCTTATTTAGAAAACTATATATTTATCTTCTCTTTATCGTTATAATCATTACTGCGAGTCAAAATAATTGTTCTTTTTAATTTTACGCAAATTAAATTAAAATACTTTTTTATATATTATTGATTTAATATATTGTAGTTTTAGTTTAAAAAATATGTATTTTGAAAATTTAAATATTAGATTGAAAATTTATCTTCAATATCTATGCTGGGTATGTAAAATGAAAGTTAGACAGTTGTGATAGGAATAAATATGTTGAATAAAATATTGGTTAAAAATAAGTTATGATAGGCATTTTTTCGAAAATATAATAATTACAAAAGGTTGGTAAAAAGAAAAGCAAGGCAGGAGGTTCATTCAAGTCCACCCATTTTGGTTATGATTTTTTGTTCATTCGCACACGCGGGTTTAAAGTTCATGGAAATGCATAATAGCTGAAGGGACTGAAACCACGCAATTGCATTGTCTCTTATAGTCTTGTCATGAACTACAACAAAACTCAACCTTTCCTTTCGGAGAATCACATCCCGAACCCGAACCCGAAAACCGAACGGATCCTACGGAAAATAAGATCCCTCCATCCCCTCTCCGTGCTCTCCACCACCGTCGCATTCCCATATCTGCCATCAGCCAAATCACCAGATGAAAACTCAAGTGTACACTAGTAATGACATCACCACATACAAAGAAACTCAAGTAGGCTGGAACAAAGGACACAGCTCATCTACCCTCGAGGGTTTCGGGCATAAATTTCATACTCAGAACACAACCTTTCTGAATCAGCAAAGGCTCAACCTTTCTGAGTAGAATGAGATCATGGGCAAAGCATCAAAAGCAAATCAAGCTCGTGGTTACGGGTCTAAGATTCCCCCTCGACTAGGTTTTCTAGATTCAAAAGCCCTAACTCAGCATCAAAAGCAAGTCAGACGAGGACATTTCATCAACAGGACACTCACCTGTCCTCTTCGGGAATATCGGTATGAGTCAGCTTGACAATGGTGACCCCTGCTTCAGGCTCCTCTAACGTAAGCTTCATCTGAAACATTTCATCAACAGAAGCATATACGTTGAACAATCATCACACCAATCAACACAAGAAAATCATCGAATTTCTATATATATATATATATATATATATATATATATCACTCTTTAAAATTACTACTATAAGAGTTCGAAATAGTAAACAAAAAATATCGAATACTTAAATTGAAAATTAAGTTATAATGGGTTTCAAATGAAAAAAAAAAATTTCTTAAACGTACCTAAAATTCACATGATATCTATCAACAACTTGATTTGATATAACTAAAACGATTCCCATTGTCAAACAATTTTTACCAACTAAGTATTAATTTATTTCATTTTAAAAGTTTGGAAATGTGAATATTAAAAGAAATTATAATATGGTGTATATATATAAGATTAACAATAAATATGCAGAAACTAATATATATATATATATATATAAACGCAACGCTTCAAAAAATTTTAAATACCGAAACGTAATGTTGCAAACGCAGAACGCCGGAAAAGGGAAAGGCAAAAGCCAAACGCACCCTTAATATTGTGGACCCCACCTGAAACCCAATCTTTCGGATAAGCTTCTTCGTCCTCTCCTCCTCCTCCCCATACTTATTATTTTTCAAATCTTTAAAAATCAAAACTTTAAAATATCTCAAACCAAAAGATTGAAAATTTTCCATGGAAACGCAAATATCTCATTGACGAATTACAAGGGGAAAAAAAAAGATGTCAGCTTTGGCACCAAACCCTCAAATTCTAACGAGACAATTTCAAAGTAGAAGAGGGAAACAGCAACGATTCATGAGGAGACAGATCAGTAGTTTCTTGAGAGAGAATAATTCTGGGATCTGCAGTCCCAGTTCTTGTTCTTGTTTTAGGGTTCATGAGGAAGTGAAGATTCGGAAGAGGGATTGGAGAGTAGAAGCCTTTTGGTCGAACTTGTCGAGGCCAAGTACGGTGGAGATGGAACCCATAAACGACGTTGATGAGCTCGACCATGTTCTCTCTCACCCGCAACCTGTCATCATTGAATGGTAATAGCATATATATAGTATATAGTTAAAGGGTCTTGTGATATATGTATGTATATATACATGTGTAAATTTAAGTGAAAATGATGGTAGGATGGCTTCATGGTGCCGGAAATGCATTTATTTGAAGCCTAAGTTGGAGAAATTGGCCGCGGAATATGATACCAAGTAAGCATGTTCTATATATATAGATATGTGTATGCCTTTTCTACGTGTAATTAGAGATATGTACATGTAATTAGATCACAAAATAGAAACGAAAAATGCAGAATAAAGTTTTTCTACGTGGACGTGAACAAGGTCCCTCAAACTCTGGTGAAGCGTGGAAACATCTCGGTACGTAACCTTCTCATCATCACCATCATCTAAAACATATACATATACCTATCGATTTCTCTCATTGGCCGATACGTATATGTGCAGAAAATGCCGACAATTCAGGTACTCCTCGTACTCTCCTGATTTGGTTTCCTCCCCCGCAAAAACCAGCGATGAAAGACTGAAGGGTGTGAGAAAAATGCGCAGTTGTGGAAGGAAGGAGAGATGAAAGAGGAGGTGATAGGAGGCCACAAAGGATGGCTTGTCATCGAGGAAGTCCGGCTCATGATCTGCAAATATCTCTAATCTCTCCCTTTACATTTCCATCAGAAGTCGCTTTGGCCGAGTGGTTAAGGCGTGTGCCTGCTAAGTACATGGGGTTTCCCCGCGAGAGTTCGAATCTCTCAGGCGACGTTTCTATTTTTGCTTTTTTGTATAAAAGCACACGCGGGTTTAAAGTTCATGGAAATGCATAATAGCTGAAGGGACTGAAACCACGCAATTGCATTGTCTCTTATAGTCTTGTCATGAACTACAACAAAACTCAACCTTTCCTTTCGGAGAATCACATCCCGAACCCGAACCCGAAAACCGAACGGATCCTACGGAAAATAAGATCCCTCCATCCCCTCTCCGTGCTCTCCACCACCGTCGCATTCCCATATCTGCCATCAGCCAAATCACCAGATGAAAACTCAAGTGTACACTAGTAATGACATCACCACATACAAAGAAACTCAAGTAGGCTGGAACAAAGGACACAGCTCATCTACCCTCGAGGGTTTCGGGCATAAATTTCATACTCAGAACACAACCTTTCTGAATCAGCAAAGGCTCAACCTTTCTGAGTAGAATGAGATCATGGGCAAAGCATCAAAAGCAAATCAAGCTCGTGGTTACGGGTCTAAGATTCCCCCTCGACTAGGTTTTCTAGATTCAAAAGCCCTAACTCAGCATCAAAAGCAAGTCAGACGAGGACATTTCATCAACAGGACACTCACCTGTCCTCTTCGGGAATATCGGTATGAGTCAGCTTGACAATGGTGACCCCTGCTTCAGGCTCCTCTAACGTAAGCTTCATCTGAAACATTTCATCAACAGAAGCATATACGTTGAACAATCATCACACCAATCAACACAAGAAAATCATCGAATTTCTCATCAGAACAATCAGTGAGGAAACCCCATTGCTGACCGTTGAATCAAGGCCATCCGGCCAGCTTCCGAACCGCCATTTCTGGACGATCAATTTGCCTTCTTGAAGCTCCAGGTTAGTCCCAGTGACCGACCCGTCGAACACGCTGATCGACCCACCAACTTCTTTGCTGATCTTGGCATTGCTCTGCGTGAAACCCTTCCACCCATTCTCATCCATCAGAATCGCATACATGTTCTTAGCTCTGCAATTGAATTTCTCCGTCAAAGCAATCGTCTTGAATCTCTTCTCCTTCTTCTTCTTCTTCTCATCATCCGCCTTCTTCTTCTCCACCGCAGCCGCAGCCGCAGCCGCCGGAGAACCACCACCGTCCTTCGCCGCCGCAGATGCAGATTTCGGAGTCACCTTCTTAGCCTCTAGTTCGTCCTTGCACGGACCCCCTTTCGCCAGGGAAAATCACTCTAATATACCAAATGTGTCGCACCCATTTCAGTGATGCCAAAAAAAATCAAATTTTTTTTTTGAATTCTATACCACTTTTAGACTTAATCCGTCCGAAATAACCTTTTTTTTATATTTTTTTCGATTTTATTACGACTGTTTATTTAGAATCAATTGCAATTGTATTTAGAATCAATTACGACTTTACAATTATAATTACACGGTAAGGGTAATATGGTTTTTTCGATAAAAATTTAATGGGTTATAATTTTTTTGGGTGTATCGGGAGAAAAGCATGCGACACTTTTTGGTACATCTAAGTGATTTACCCCTTTCGCCATGCACTCGACATAAACCCTAACTTTCTCCAGAATCAACGGCTTCCCTTTGGCCACCATCGCCTCCTTCAACGTCGTCCCGATCGGCCCTTCGTCCTTCACCGAGAACCTGATCTCCGGATCCTCTCCGGCGTTCTCGTCGGAGATGTACGGCATCTCAACGAAACCGTCGGCCTTCAGGAGTGTTTTCCCTTCCGAATCCCTCGCCTCACCTTCCTCTCGTACCCAGGAATGATCGTTCCTTTGCGCACATTGACGTACGCCTCGCCGTCGACCTTCACGATCCGCTTGATCTTGATGAAGAGGTCGCCTTCTCCGGCGAGGACAATGGCGCCGGAGAGATGCTTGTTGAAGAAGCTCCGAGACCATTCGAGACAGTTCGTCTCCGCCCAGTGCCAGTTATGGACGTTGGTGCCGTCGGATCTCTCCTCCACGATCCACCGCTTGTCACCTTCGCCGTACTTCGCCATTGTCGGAGCTCGTGAACGATATTCTTCTGTGTATCAAAGAAGAGAAGGAAAAGCAGAAGATTTCGGATGGAATTCGATTGATATTTGGGTGAAGAAGCAGCTAAGACAAGAGAGACGAAGACGAAGACCAAGACCAAGAAGATGAAAGATGAAAGCGAAGGAGAAATTAATTGAATTTAGGAGCCATTTTAGAAACTGCGCTTTCTTTTCTTTTAAATGACAAGGAAGAAACAGAGTTGGTTTGGAATGTGATAATCTTTCAATGTAAAAATAAATTAACGAAGAATATAAGAAAAACTTGTAAATATATATATATATATATATATACAATTTTTTTTCTACATAATAATACATCAAATATTTAGAATCTTTATATCAATATATAATTTTTCAAATTCTCCTACAACTAATAATAACAACAATAACAACCACAACACTTGAAATATCTGTCAAATTTTGGAAATATAAATATAAGAAAAATTTGCTGCAAAAATATCATCAACGGCCTTTCTGCTGCAACCGGTGCCATTAATGTGGGATATATCCAAATGAGTTTTGCTCTTCAGCTTTCATATTCATTACAGAACCTGAAAAAACAGAGTAGAATGGCTTCAGAAATCAAGGAGGATAAGGTTATATATGGCACAGACACGACAAGTCTTACAGCCAAACAAGGTCCCCCCCCCCCCCCCCCCGCCCCGCGCTT